GCGGATGTGTTGGGTGTCTGTGCCACGATAACCGAAATTATCCACGTCGGAATGGAGGAATACATCCGTCACAGAGTGAAAGTGCCTAAACCAGGTTCCAATGGCAGGTTTAGCAAATCGTGTGACACTGCTCGCCAGCAGAAGATCAAGGCACACAGAAAATTCTTACAAAACCCCACTGTAGAGAACAGACAGTGATTCGCAATGCCAAAAACCAGCGCGATATAAAAGTTAGGCACAGGGTAATGTCGCAGCGCAATGGCAGTCGGTCTTTCTGGATGCTGGCCAAGCAGGTTTACCACTTACGTGTATGGATGGAACGATTGTATCTGACTCAAAGGCCAATGCGGAACTGCTTGCCAAGATCTTGTCTGCAAACTCCACCATGGACGTTCCCCCAATTCCCGTCAATTCAAAGAGTTCCCTACACAATGCGGGAGGTAAAATTCAGGCATAAGACCGTAAGACGAGTGCTCTTGTCGCTCGACATCAACAAAGCTTCTGATCCGGACTTGATTCCTGCCATTGTACTGACGAGGTGTGCAGCGGAGCTTGCTTCAGTTCTTTTACTTCTCTTCAAGATATCTTATGAATCCAGCACCTTCCCAGAAAATTTGCTCATATCCAACCCATCCCAAATAAAAGGATCTGAGACCGACCCTTATAACTGCAGGTCTATAGGTATACTTTCAGTTATAAGTAAGGTGATGGAGACGTGCATAAATCGCGAGATTCTGGACTACCTCGAACGCCACAGCTTGATTAGCCTCAGGTAGTATAGTTTCCGTCACCAACGATCCACGGGGGACCTCCTAGCTTACGTCACGCAATTGTGGAGTAAGCTCATTTAGTCTTATGGTGAGGCTCATGTCGTTGTTCTTGACATCACGAAAGCGTTCGATTAGCTGTAGCACGCTGCCCTCTTAAGCAAACTTCCATCATATGGCCTCTCAGAAACGCTTTGCAGATGGGTGGCTGACTTTATCGCAGGCCGCAACATATCCGTCGTAATTGACGGATTCTCCTCTTCATCCCACAACGTCAACGCTAGTGTTCCCCAGGGTTCGGTCTTGGCTCCGACACTGTTCCTATTACATATCAACGTCCTCCTTTCCTGCACGATCAACCCAATCCACAGCTTCGCTGATGACAGCACTCTACATGCAGGAATTCAGAGTAACAAGCCGATCTCTGCCACTGAGCTGGAAAAAAGAAGACTAGCGACGACTTCCTCTCTGACGAGAGACCTGGGACCTGATCTGTCACGAACACACCTCGTCAATAGGGGCAGCTGCTGGGAAAAAGCAAGGCTATTTGCATGACCGTCTCACTCTATACAAGGCCCAGATAAGGCCTAGCACCGAGTATTGCTCACACGTTTCGGGTGCTGCCACCCCGACTACATTATTTATGCTCGAGGCTGTCCAGAGGAGGGCGGTCCGACTGATCGATGACTCTTCTCTAACAGACAGTCCTAGGACTCTTGCGCACCGGCGGGCTGTCTTCGATCTCTCTCTCTTCTACCGCTACACCAACGGGCTTTGCTCCTCAGAGCTCTCTTCCATGATGCCGCCGCGCGATGTGCCTGCCAGACAGAACCGCCTGACTTTGGCATCCCATCCTAACCGTGTCGAACTTTGTACATCCAGAACTGGCCGATACGACCGCTCCTTTGTCCCGAGGGTGTCGAGATTGTGGAACAATCTACAAGAGGAAGCTTCTCCCAGTTCTGCTAACATTAGGCAGATAAAAAGTCGTATTAACAAAATTTCTTTGGGATCATCATAGCGGCATTTAGGCTTCTGCCTGCGTGGCTGCTTCGATATAAAGAAAAGAAAAAATCTTCACGACATAACCCCACTAGATCCTTATCACGACCCACTATAGCTGGAGCGCCATCGATTGTCAAGCCTACCATTTTCGATATTGGAGTTTTCTCAGCAGAAATAATATTTTTAGAAGACGGAAACAGGTCCTGCCCAGTAGTCAGTCCTTTTAGTGGACTAAACTTCAAAATATCTTCTTTAATCGGCCATCTGAGAGGTGTCAACGACAAAATAAGCACAGTTATCTAAGTCATGTTTTAACTGTAAATCTATATCATTGCTCATCACTGTATTAGCAGAAAGTTGCATAGATTTTATAGCAGACTATCTCGACTTTATTTCTAAAGTTGGTAAATAATGAATCTGCAGCTTCTAAAAACGCCTGTTTTATCATTTTCCCGTCTTCATAAGGCTTCTTCATTTGTGTAATTATCTGGGATACCCGGTATGATGCTTCAGTTGCAGCCTTACTTTTGTCGATTGTTTTTAAAAACATTGTATGTTGTCCAATTAACTGATTTTTTAATTATTTTAGTTTTTACGTTCTGGTGCACGCTAATTTTAGGTAAAGACTTTCGACTGTGGACAATACTTGGGTGAATGCACATACCAAATTTTAGTTCAATAAAGTTGAACAAATACATTTTGGGAAAATCTATTTTTGGCATGTTATACATGACATTTGAGGTCACATTTCTAAAATATTGACAATTTTACAGGGTGTCTCAATTTTGACCTACATATCAAAGCTGTGATTTTTTAAATGGAATGCCTCAAATTTGATTGCATATTTGGATGAACCAATTCAAAAGAAGAAGATTGATATAATATACTATGGAGTTTTGGTAATTAGCTACTGAGATGTAAGGTGTCTTGTCCAGAAAAACCGTCCACTTCGGTAACCCCTCAATCGACCATTTTGAAATTTGGAGTGCTGAATTTTGTATCAAAAAAACTTACACACCAATTGTACTTTTTCAAAAAATCAAATGCGTCACCCTGTGCAAGTTTGGATTCAATTTTTTATAAGCTGTTTTTGGTACAAGATAAAATCACTAGATTTTGAGATATTAAGCTTTTAATAGAACAACACACCAAAATTAAGGAAGAAAATCACATCATCCGTAGAAACAAAAGAAAAACAGAGGGCTAGTTCCATATTGCCACTAAAAATACAGATTTGACGTAAAAACTAATAACAATCAGAACAGTATAAATCAGCTTCAAGCGTAATAGAAAAAAGCAACTATAACAACAACATAACCAAACAACTATCACTACTCAGGACCTAATCTACAAAAACTGCTCGAAAATATCTCCACCATGTTAAATACACATCCGTAGTCTTTGGATAAATGATCGTTGCACCTCCCTCAGCATGCTGTTCCCTTATGTTCAGAAAAGCATCCTTAATTCTTTCCTTCATATTTTCCGGGGTGGTGGATATCTATAAACCTCTTGCTAAACGTAGTCCCATAGAAAGAAGTGCATCGGTATCATATCTGACGATCTAGGAGGCCAAGATATAGGCCCATCACGACCGATCCAACGATTGTTAATCCAGGTATCCAAATAGTTATGCACACGATTATGATAATGCGCAGGTGCGCCGGCATGTTGAAAGTACATATGCATCCGAGTTTGCAGGTTGACATCCTCCAAAAACAAAGGCAAATGCTCGATCAAAAAATTAGTATTCTGTACCTGTTAATCTGTTGTCGAAAAAGAAAGACCCGATAACTTGTCTGCCAATAACTCCTCCCCAAACATTCAAGCTCCATTTATCTTGGAAATCTATTTGCCTAACCCAGTAAGGGTTTTCCTTCATATAATAGTGCATGTTATGCCTGTTGACAACACCTATGCTGTTAAAAGTTGCCTCATCGCTAAAAAGAACCTTATCCAGGAAGGTAGTGTCTTCACTGACATTATTTAGCACTATTCTACTAAATTCCATTCGAGCTGCGAAATCCTGAGGACGAAGGCCTTGATGCAAGCATAGGTGATATGGAGGGTACCTATGCTTGTGAATAATCCTTTGGACAGAAGTTCTGCATATATCAGTTTCTGCTCCAATTTGGCGTGCACTTAAATGGGGATTTTACTGCAACTTTAATAGAACCTTCAACTGATTCGCTTCATTGGTGGCACTTGGATTATTTATACATTTTTTACTATATTCCACTGCTCCACTTGATTCAAAACGTTCTCGTAGAGTGGAAAATGTTTCCGACCTTGGATTTCTTCTTTAGAAAAATTCATTTTCAAACAAGTTTTTATTATAATGCTCATAAAGCTAATTTGGACAGTTTGTAACTAATCAACAATTTATTTGTTTCCAAGGATGATGCGATATTTTAGGGAATTAAGCCGTTCCATAAAAGACGTGCTAATAACCGAAAAAATAGCCGTAAAAAACCCTTATGTGTCTAGTATAAAAAAAGCTTATAAAAAAATTGAATCTAAACTTGCACAAAATATACAAGGTGATGCGTTTGAAATTTTTGAGAAAAACTACAACTTGCGGTTTTGACCACCCTGTATGAGCAAAAATTAAAATTCGAAAAAGTAACAAATAAGATAAAAGCTGAGGTGTGAAGTTTTTTTATACAAAATTCAGCACTCCAAATTTCAAAATGGCGGACTGAGGGGTAGCCCAACTAGGGGGTTTTTCTAGACAAAACACCTTATATCTCAGTAGCTAAAAAACCCCATAGTATGTTATATCAATTTTCTTCTTTTAAATTGGTTTATCCAAATCCACAATAAAATTTGAAGCGTTCTATTTGAAAAATCACAACTTTGATATGTTGGTCGAAATTGGGACACTCTGTATAATGACCAATATTTTAGAAATGTGCCCCCAAAATGTCATGTATAACATCCCATAATTAGATTTTCCCAAAATATATTTGTTTATGAGTAATATTCCATCCACACATGGATGGGCCACCCTGTATAATATATAAATATGCCAATTTCCCAATTAACAATTAATTGTATTTTGTGGCCAACTGGTCGTTGGTTTTGGCAATGACTACTGCTCACGTATATATATATATCCGCTATGTCTTGACTAAATTTTGACAATATTGCTTGAAATATGTGGAGACCCCGGCAGGGTTATTCCACAAGAAACCTTTATAATGCCATAAAAAAATTCAATATTTTCAGGTTCTTGATTCTGAGCATTCTTCCGGAGGTGGCTTGCATTGTAGGTCTGATCTGGGCATCCGAGTCACCCAGATACCTGTTGGAGGCCTCACGAGAGGTTGAGGCATTGGCTGTATACCAAAGGCTGCACAAGTTAAATAAAGCCCGTACACAGTACGGACTGACTGAGCTGGAGTTGCCAGGCAGAGCCGCTTACAGGGACAGGCCAGCCAGCCCTTCTAGGAATGTTATCAATCATGGTCTTGAAACGGTAAGCACAACTTCTCAAGACAATAGATAAATGCATCTTCTGAGAATGTTGTCTACCTATTGGAGCTTAAAAAAAATGTTTTTCAGTATATTACTTTGCGAGCAATAACACGCATTCGGAGAAAAAATAAACATCTTTATTTGGGTTACGCTATCCCTCTACTGAACCCATAAACAAATACGAACAGTAAATATTGATAAAAAATAGACGTAAGTAATGCGATTCCTCTTTCAGCTGAATACGAAACTACTTTACTCAGCAAAAGTTAAATATACACATTTTTAATGTTATCCCTAAAAGTAGATTTTCAATATGTTTTTTGAAGTTTGCAAATGTTAAAGATTTAGTTTCAAGGTTTAATGGATTATATAGGATATGAAGATAGAGATGATACATATCTGTACCACTTTTTGTACGGTACAAAACAGATCCTTCGCGTACTAAATTCATCTACTGAAAATGTGATACACATGTAGAGACAGTTAGTCAAAGAGTTACCTCACTCTGCTATTGCATGTACCAGCTGAGTTTTGTCGTACATACGTGGTTACTGTTAATTTCTAACTAGGCACATATATTCTGCTCTGCCTTATGAAAAAGAGCGATGGGGAGCATCCTTCAAGTTACAAATGCTTTTTATAATACAAGAAAGAGCTATTAGAACCATTGTAAAGGTGGGAAGGCGCTTTAGTTGCAGGGAATTATTCACAACTTTGAAGATATTAAGGCTGCCTTAAGTATATGTATTAAACATATTGCTTTACGTTAAAACAGACCTGGACAATTTTAAATCTATAAATTCTGGAATTTACAGTGCAAGAAACAGCGAAGTATTGCAGATCGCATTACATAGGTTGTCGAGAATGAAGGCGAGTCCCAAATACATGGCAATCAAACTCTTCAACACTACCCATCGATCTAAAATCACTACCGCTGACGTTCTTTAAAAAAGAATCAGGCAAATCTTACTGGATAAAGCTTACTGCTCTATAGAGGAATTTTTATCTTTTTTAATTGTTTTAATCTATTGTTTAAAATCAAATTGTTAATTTACTATCATTATAATTCATTTTCATGTTTATACACATCGTGCTTTTTGACATTTGAATATTATTTATTTATGTGTGCAATTCTTTTTATGTGACTCATCCTATATCACGTTGTGATCCACAGGATGAATAAATTATTATTACTACAATTATTTGACATTAGAAGGCATCAGTAAAACATGAACATTACAAACCGCGGGTGGTATGTGAGACCGCTCTGTATAAAATGCAGCTCGCTAGTTTCAGTCCTATGTAGGGGAGATCTAGGATCCGCTTCATTCCTGGCACACTCATTAGCACTGCCATTACCAACTATATTTAGATATCAGCGAGAATATTGAATCTGCTATCGTAAATATAATGATAATGATTTCATTGTTATGCTCGGAAATTGCATCTGTTCCAGTTTCGCCAAGCTTTTCAAAGGGTTTCATCTCCAACTCATTTTCGCACAACGCTGCTACTAGCTAGTCTGCATTTCCTGCTTGGTTTCTTATATATGGGAATATCTGCGTTTTCCTCAACAATCATCAAGGATCTACGAGAACATGAGTATTTTCTCCACAAGCAATACGTAACAAATGACAATTTTAGCAGGTGAGTAACTTACCTTCAATTCAAAAATACAAATTTTCAGATCTATAATATTTATACCCTTACAAAATTTAAAACCTTTTGTTTTTATGAAGCAACATATTATAGAACTCGACAATTATTGCTTATCTTAGCAAATGATAGATAGATGAATATGCTTTATTGTCTGAAGAATACAATTATTCTTGATGACAAAACTAACCTAAAACTAAACTATAACAAAATTACATATGTGGATCTTAAGTAGGTGAACTGTATGAACTCACAAATGGTATAATATGGTTAACGTATTGAAAAGTTCATGACGGAATATCTTTTGCAAGCACCAGGAAGTCCCCATGTAAATTTTCAGAACGTTCTAAATTAGTCTTACACAAGTATTGATTTAGGTACTACTAATTTAAGGTCTTGTCTTCGTCTAATATTTAACTTATATTTGATGTTTCAAGTTAAGGTTTATTATTAAAAATAAGAGTTGCCGTTTCCAAAATGAACAATGAGACGACCGTCATTATCTTAAGGTTTACAAACGAAGGCCGCATGTAGCTCTAGGATTGCTTTTTGTTATATATCTAATAGTTCGGTTTTTGTAGAATGCACTTTTTTCAGCAATTTTTGGAACAGATACCCCAAAAGTTTATATCTCAATCTACTTTCAAATAAGGCACAATAACTGCTTAAGGCTGTGCTTTTACCTACATTGTAACTAATTGTTCTTATAATAAAGGGAATATTTGCTAGTTGAGTCAGCAATTTCGCTACATGATTAGTAAAATCTAAATTATTATCAATGGTCAGTCCCAAAAATTTGATGGTATCTGTTTTGTATATCAATTCATTATTCAAATTTATAAGATCAGAAAAGCATTTAAAAGTCATACATTTTGTCTCATTAACATTGAAAGTCAAGTAAGTGTCACACCATTTTTTTGATTGCTTGTAGTTACCATAAATTTTTGTCTTGATTTCATTTCCTTCTGTGTCTTGCCAAAATATTGTGGCATCCTCAACAAAAACTACGAATTCACCATTTATGTTTAAGTTTATTAAATCATTGATATAGACTAAGATTAGTATCGGATCTAATATTTTCATATATTCATGTAATTGATTTGAAATAAAGCAACATCCATTTTTCATATATCTCAAATATCTTATCTGGGGGGGTTCAGGCAACATAAAGCGGTCTAACGGTGCAGCTCGTTGATGCTGAATAGCAGTATCATATCTGACAGTCAAGCGAAAACAGATATCAAACTGACAAAGGTATCCCTTGGCTACTGTTGTCAGCATAAAAGCGCTGCACTGATGGATCGCTTGTTGAAGGTTAAACGCACTCAATGACGTAGAAAATAATTGTTTTTTTAGGATATACGTAAATCATACGATGGAGAACGTTGAATACAGGAGCACAACATTTTCGAATGCAACTTTTTCTCATATGAACTTGAATCATGTGGATTTCGTTAACTGTACTATCGAGGATTCTGAGTTCAATAGTGTAAAAGCCTCGGTATCCTACTTCAAAGACACTACGATAAAGGACTCAAGGTAGGATTATTAATTCTGTTAAACAGTGAATCTAGTTTGAAGAGTGCTAACAGAGTCCCAAACGGTAAAGTCGTTGACAAATTCATTGCGGTACGCTATTTCTATTTCCAGGAACTTCAAAGTCCTCAAAAAATAAACTTACTGGTAGGTTTTGGCTGGTGATCGACATTTCGACAGTTCCTATTGACTTGAGTCATCGATTAAGGATTCTCCATGTCAAAATAGTTTTACTGCTTAAATATTTTCATTTTAAATGCATCTGTCACGCTTGAGGCTCATTTTTACTTTATGCCTAGGTTATGATAATTTTTTTATTACTTTGTAGGTTTATAGACACAGACTTGACTGACCACCACTTTATAAATTGTAATCTGATCAACAACACATTCCTGTCTCTTGTATCAGGTTGTAATGTGGACTTTGATTACAACATCTACCTTGAGGATTTATATGATGAGACTCTTGCTTGGGCTGGGTGAGTAGATTTTGTCATTAAAGGTTCTTCCAAATAGGAAACATGTTAGATATCGGTAGAACCAGCCATCGCATATTTGCAAATAGATTCAAATCTATCATTTTTATTTGCGTGCTATATGCTGATTGCTGCTTTCTTATTGCTGTTCGTACCGTATAATTAGAAACAATAACAATGTTTCTAGTTTAAAAAAAATGTAATTTTGCTATAAGCTTGGATCTCAAATTTATCCTAACTAGTTGCGAAGCAGATAAAATCATCTATAAGGATTCCCTCTTTCAATAAATGTTTGTCACATTGATTGTGACTGTGACACTGTGGTTTCTAGATGTTGACAATTCTGGTGCTGTAGCAGATACGGTCTACTCACCATTGAACAAATTAGCAATATAGCTTTCAGTGACGAATGTATCTTCTATAGCGGCTGTCACATGCTATTAATGGTAGAGTGGCCATTCCTAGGCTGAACCTTTTCAATGATTTCCTTTTGGTAAATTTCATAGTTTATTGGTTTCATAATTTCACGCGTATTATATCGTTGTTTCTCAGTGATACAGTATTGTATTGGAAAAAGACTATGTGGTTTTTCTGCGTTACTTGGTCTTCAATCGAACATATCTTCTTCAAGGCCACTCATTGAACCTTCCTTTATAAAGTTAGGTGTTTCGGGTCAGTCACTTTTCTCCTGAGATTGCGGTATGCGCGCCATTGGTTTAATCTACAGATTCTGGGTTATTAGGTGGCTAACACCAGTTTATGGAGTTGTACCCCTTCATATAGTACCCTACGTTTAGTTGTTTTGGTTTTGGGTGCTACTACGTCCATTTTCGTATTGGATTTTAATCTTCAGCGGTAAGTTTTTTCTCCTATACCACCACGTGCATTAATGCACGTCAGTGAGTAGTTTTGCCTCAGAGAGACAGTAGATTTTTGCGCAGTCTATCTCTCTCTAGGTTTTTTCATGGTCATTAGGCGCAAAAATATCCTTAAAGCGTATACCATGGTAAACATCTCGACCAAATGATTTTATTGTGCGATATTTTTTTTTGTAATATCCTTTCTTTTTAACTTGCATTCCAGTAGCGGAGCATTAATTTGTGCTGTTTGCTGAGTGAATATATTGTGATTTTTTTAATATCTTGTTTTATTTGGCTCTATGTGTACTGTTGATTAGGTTACGTCATTACTGTTAGATTCTTTTCTTTTTTGTGGGTGGTCAAGCAAGACAAGCTCCGACTAACATCTCGGGGATTTGTGGCTTAATCTGTTTTAAGTCACTGGCGCTCATAATCCCCCTACTCTCCGCTTTATTGAGCTAGGGCTTAAATTTGCACGCCACTTGAAGGCTGTTTTGCATTGACTCACCATTTGATTTTATTTATCGTATTTTATTAATTCATTAATTAATTAAAAAAAAGAAAGAGGAATCATACCACCTTTTCCTCTTATTTATAAAAAAAGGCGTGGCACGGCATCTATCGGCCACAGTGGTGGCCCAGCTGAGATATAGTTCCAGCAGGCAGGTTGCTGCTTTCACTCTCGCAGTCGCCGATTCTGATAACAGATGGCACTTATTTCGATATTAAGTACGTACATACGAACACCCCGCCACAACGTTAGGGTAACGTTGGATAACAGCGTATTTTATGAAATAACTCATTAATGACTTTAAGGAGTAGACCGGGCTCCTTGAGCCGTGGTGAAGGCAGTCGGTCAAGGAACGCTGGCGTGGTCAAGGCAGCAGGACCCCAACGGGCCACTTTAGGTAATTCAACATCATTAACATGCAAAAACAAGGTGGTAGACCAGGATAAGCCGAGGCGGTGCCACCCGCTAGCTTTTTATAGTCTTATAAATGTCCGCATGCCTCCAGACCTAAGCTACGCATTGGGTTATCTTCCCCAACAACGAAATTAATGATGATGGATCCCTCGAGTACTAAGAATTCCGGACGTAAACTCACTCCACTCTCAGAATGTCCGGGTGGAGGGTGGCGTTGAGGGAACATCATCGAAGGTAAAATTTGGTTCACGAACATCTGCGGGATTAACAGCAACATTGATGCTGTTCATCGCTACTTGCAATCAAATCGTCCCGACATGCTTTTCTTGGCGGAGAAAAAAATCTCAAAATCCCAGAGTCTGCACCGATTAAGCATCTTAGCTTCCCAAATTACGAGGTGCACTCCAATCTGAAAAATAACGTGGGAGTTGTAGCTTTCATCCACAGCAGTTTTTTCTCCTCCAGAGATGCTTTTTTGGACTCAGATCGGAAAGACATTAGCTAGCTTCGCATCCTGTCCCCTACAGTACTGCTGTCCTGTCCCCCCCTGGGCAACTCAGGCCACGGTGCTGTGGAGGTTAGGTTTCGGTCAGAACCCGCTGTGGCAGTAGAAACTCGCCAAGGAAGCAAAATTTGGCAGTTCGGACATGCCCACTGGGAGGGGCTCAGAGACTCTCTACTTTTGCTTGGTGAGATGTTTCTTTTGCCGACGTGGATGCGTCGGCTGTCGGTTCTTTGATAACGGAAATTATCCACGTCGGGATGGAGAAATACATCCCTCATACAGTTCAACAAATCGTGTGATACCACTCGCCAGCAGAAGATCAATGCACACAGAACCTTCTTCCAAAACCCCACTGTAGAGAACAGACAAGCCGATATCGAGCCCAAAAACAAATATAACGAAGCGGTTCGCAATGCCAAAGACCAGCACTATATACAAGTTAGGTCACGGGGTAATGTCGCAGCGCAATGACAGGCGGTCTCTTTGGACGCTGGCTATGCAGATTGAAAGGAACCTCTTACACAGTAGTCTTCCACCACTTACTTATCTTTGCTGTCAACTCCACCATAGACGTCATTCAACGCCCAAATGCCATCGATTCAAAGGTTTCCCTACACTATGCGGGAAATAACATTCAGGCATAAGAGATGGGTGCTCATGTCGCTCGACATCAACAAAGTTTTGGTCCGGACCTGATTCTTGCCATTATACTGAAGAGATGTGCAGCGGAGCTTGCCCCGGTTCTTTCGCGTCTTTTCCAGATATCTTACCAATCCGGTACCTTCCCAGAAAACTGGAAATTTTTGCATGCCCAACCCATCCCAGAAAAAAAAGGACCTAAGACCGATCCTTACAGCTTCTGGACTACCTCGAACGTCACAGCTTGATTAGCGACAGGCGGTATGGTTTCCAGCACCAGCGATCCATAGGGGACCTCCTAGCTTACGTCACGCAATCCAGTCTTATTTTGAGGCTCATGTCGTTGCTCTTGATATCACGAAAGTGTTCGATCACCTGTGGCACGCTGCCCTCTTATGCAAAATTCCATCGTATGACCTCCCAGAAAAGCTTTGCAGATGGGTGGCTGACTCTCTCTGCCCACAAGATATCCGTCATAATTGATGTATTCTTCTCTTTATCCCACAACGCCAACGCGGGTGTTCCCCAGGGATCGGTCTTGACTACGACACTGTTCCTCTTACTTATCAACGACCTCCTTTCCTGTACGCAACAATTTAATGCTTCCAATACGCAGTACTGTACCTAGACGAACAAAAAGCGTCCTAGAGCTAATCCCGTTTTGTTGGATGGCCGAGTTCTTGGGTGGTCGGAGTCCAGATCACCGAAGACTTGATCTGGCATGAACACACCTCGTCAATAGCGGCAGCTGCTGGGAAAACGCTAGGATATTTGTTTAGGGCTAATATCTCTTTTTGTCTGCATGACCTTCTCGCTCTATACAAGGCCCAGATAAGGCCTAGCCTCGAGTATTGCTCACACGTTTGGGGTGCTGCCGCCCTGACTACATTGTTTATGCTCGATGCTGTCCACAGGCGGACTGTCCGACTGATCGACTACTCTTCTCTAACAGACAGTCTTGGAAACTTTCGCACCGGTGGGCCGTCGGCGATCTAGCTTTCTTCTACCGCTACACCAGCGTGCTTTACTCCTCACAGCTCTCTTCCATGATGCCGCCGCCCGATGTACCTGCCATACAGACCCGCCTGACTTTCGCCTCCCATCCTAACCGTGTCGAACTTCTTACATCCTAAACTGGCCGATACGACCGCTCTTTTGTCCCGAGGGTATCGGGATTGTGGAACAATCAAGCGGAAGTTTCGCGCAAAAATTTCGAATACTGAAAAAACGTTTTTCTCTTCCGTTTGTTCATCGTTAGTCCACATTTGTCCACCCTTTCACCCTACTGAGCGAGGGCCGTGGCAAATGCTTGTTCCGGAAGTCGTTGTATCCAGTATACAACTTCTTCCCGTCCAAGTGATTGCGCACGCGTTAAGGAATACCTCAGTACCGATTGCCGGGTGGCGGTACAAGTCCGCCAACGGGCCACTTTAGGTCTATTCAACATCACTAACACGTAAAAAGAAGGTGGTAGACAAGGACCAGTCGACCGAGGCAGTACCACCCGCTAGCTTTTCCCAGGGTGTCTTATAAATGTCCGCATGTTTCCACACCTAAGCTATGCAGTCGGTTATCTACCAAAACAAAGAAATTAATGATGATGGATCCCTCGAGCACTAAAAACTCCGGACGTAAACTCACTCCACTCTCGGAATGTCCGGGTGGAGGGTGGGCTCGAGGGAACAACATCGAAGATAAAATTTGTTTTTCGAACATCTGCGGGATCAACAGCAACATTGATGCTGTTCATCACTACCTGCAATCCAATCGTCCCGCCGTGCTTTTCTTGGCGGAGACAAAAATCTCAGAGGCTGCACCGATTAACCATCTCAACTTCCCAAACTACGAGGTGCACTCCAATCTGAGAAAGAACGGGGGAGTTGTGGCTTTTGTCCGCAGCAGTCTTTCCTGCTCCAGGGATCTTTCTTTGGAATCAGACCGGAAGGACATTCTGTGGCTTCGCCTCAACTCCAAAACATCACCCAAATTTATTTGCTGCCTTTATCGCTCTCCCTCGAACCATAACTGGGATGACCTACTCGAATACCTCGCCGTCCAGATCGACTTCCTGAAC